GGCGCGACCTGCCGTATGAGTTTGCTGGCTTCAAGGGTTGCAGGCGTTGAGGGTTGGGGGTGGGTTGGCTCCCCCGAGATGGGTACATGGACGTCACAGGCACGCTTGGACGACGCGTCCGGATGGTGGGCTGTTCGCGGTGGTCCAGCAGGGCCTCACTCTCGAGACTGGTGTTGCTGAGGTTGCTGTGGGTGCGGTAGAAGCTGCTGCTCCCTCGTGACTGGCCATGGCTGGCGGCGTTGGCGAGGGTGGGACGCTCATCCATTGAGTCAGCCTGTGGCAGATCGGCTCCTGCGGCAAAGGATGGGCGACGGTTGCGCCTCTTCTTTCCGCCACGATGCGTCTTCTTCTTCTTCTTGGGCAGAGCAGAAGCAGAGTCAGCGTCTTGTCCTTGGCGCGAAACAGGATCCGAGGCTGCAGCTGTCGCGTATGAAGCATGACCTGAGTTAGCAGCGCTGGCGGGTCCAGGCCCAGTGGAGGAATTGGTCGGCATTGCAGCAAGGCGCGCCTCGAAACGGCAGCAATGGTGAAGCTACCGTGGATGCGCGACGGGGCGTATATACAGTGGAGGGCCACTGGGATGCAGACACGCAGGCGTCTGGGAGGAGAGGCGCATAGGAGGACGAGCAGCGACGAAAGACGACATGTTCGTCCAGAATCTGGCAGTGACGTTATTGGGGGCCAGTGCTGCGGTGCGTGCGCCCAGCAGCTAATCATTGGCCGGTCTGTCCCAGCTTTCTGCCAGTTCGCACATTAGGAACCGTCGGTGCTGCGCCTTGGCGGTGCCCTGCAAGCTGACCATGGATATTTATGCGCTTGGATGCACTGATCTCTGGACCAGTTTGCAGATTGCCATGATAGGAACATGGCATTGATTGACGTTTGGCCACGGTGGTGCGCATAACAGACGTCGTGTGCGCTGTTTCCTCTTTTGGACAGGCTAAGGACAGACGGGGGAGGTGGGCCAGTTTCAAACGCGCTATTCCTTCGCCCTTGAACTGATTCGATACAGATTTGCCCTTGGCTGCACCACCATCTCGATGAATTATCTATCATATAGCTACATCACTAGTAATTGTTCTATCGATGCAGGAAAACAAGCTGCATGCCCTTGCTCGACCACCGCTGCATGCAGAACCAGTCCCCTCTTCATTGCTTTTCACATGTCGCCAGCCTTACGGTGCATACCGCCATTGAACGCCATGATAGCCATTTTCTCTTGCCATTGGCCACCTACAGTACATGTCGATACATTGGACCATAGTTCTCCAGTCCGATTTGATGCACCGCTTCTCCGCCCTTTGCAGCTTCCTGCATCGCTGACTTTTGCTGCGCCAATGTCCCATATTGTTTGTCCAGCTTCTTGTTCTCCCAAGCAAGTAGAGTTCTCAATAGGATAGCAAGCAGGCAAAAGAGGAACATGAATCCCGCGCAAATCGACTGGCCTTTCACATACAGCGGCCCCTCTGATTTTGGATACAGTCGAGTTCCAAGCACCGGCCCACACTGCCCAATGAGGTTCGCCATCATCAGACCAGTCCCTCTTCGCGTATCTGTGCCCTGGTTGTTCGTGATCCACGGCAGAACATTGCCAATGGCTGGAAAGATGCCCGCAGCAGCCAGGAAGACTCCAAAGTATCTTGCTGCCACAGCCTTGGTCGTAGCTAGGATCACATAACCAGCACCACCGATTGCTGTGAGTATGGCGATCATGATACCGCGCTGTTGTGTGCGGTCGGCAATGTAGCAAGTCACAATGACAGTGAGGAAAGAGACGAAGAAGGGTGGTGCCGTTAGTCCCTGTGCGTTCACGTGCGAGAATCCCATCTCAGTAAGGATGGTAGGCAAAAAGACCGGCAGCGATGAGAATGCTACGTTGCCCGAGAAATACATAATCTGAAAAATCGTTAGTTCGGTCGGCCGACTTACCCAACAGTTTACTCTACTTACGCCTAGGACCCAACTCTTCAAGTCTAGTACCGCTTCCAGCATTTCCTTCCACTCGATGCTTCCAATTCGAGTCCCCGTGCCTGCCTGTACTACACCACGCGCTTTGGCAACGGCCTTTTCCTCCTCGGTAAGGAATCGCGCTTTCTCTGGGCTGTCTGGCAAAAAGAACCATGTCACAACAGACATTACAACAGTCGGAAGTCCCTCTGCGAGAAACAGTACACGCCACTTTGCAAACGAAGGATTTCCGCTGGTAATACCGTACGCTAGCGCCCCCGAAAATGTGTTTGCTAGCGGTGCGGCCGACAGGAACAATCCGCATCTCAAACCGAGCTCGTGTCTGAGATAAAAGAATGAAAGTAGGAAAGGTACGCCAGGCCCAAAAGCGATTTCAGCAACCCCCATGAGGAAGCGGAGCACCATCATTCCAGTCCATGATTGAGCTCCAGCTTGTGCGCTCGATATCAGGCCCCATGCAAAGACGCATCCTGCAGCCCAGTGATGCGGAGGCACCACTTTCCACATGACGATAAGGAAGCCAAAGACAATGTAGGAAATGTAAAATATCGTTAGGAGCCATGAGTATTCTGAGCTACTGAGGTGGAGGTCCTCTTCCATACCGGCAATGCGCGCGTTCCTATGTTTTGTGTCAGCAGTTGGCTCTGAGCAAGTTCCGGATATATCGCATTACCCAATATTGGATCTGTCGAGAAAGGCGAGAAGATACAGCGCTGCTAGCAGTGGGACAACGTGTTTATCCAATTTCCGTCGTACACGCTTCGCGATGACTGGATCAATCTTTCCTATAACAGGCGCATCTGGAATACCGTCTCCATCCTTCTCGAATGCCACTGTATCAATCTTCTCTTCGTCCTGGCTATTGCTTGCGTAGTATCTCTTGGTAAAAAACGATGACATTGTGAGGCTGACGTATTCAAAGACGAGAAGGAAAGCGAGAAGGAAAACGAGACGGCACACAAGATGCACCTAGTCACACATCAGATGGCCAGGAATATATAAGAAACCTAAGCTTTACCCTCGGAATGCTTCCCCCAAATGCCGAGACGACGTCTGACCCATTGCGCCATTCATGATAGGTCGAGGGTCCTACAGTTGAGGTAAGGATGTGTGGGGTTCGGTGGAGCGATCGACAATGATGAGCAATGGTGCTCAGCGGAAGCAGATCCGCCGACACCGGAGTCTCGCCGAAGTTAACGACTTCAGGGTGCCCGAGCGTGTGCTGACTACCATTCCTCTATACATGGGCTGTAGGGTCGTGGTCCATATCAGCATACCAAGTCGTGTCGAGATGAAAGCATCGTGGCACGTGTTTATCTGGCATCCACGGTTCCCACGCACAACTGACAACACAACTATGCATCCTTGGAATAATGATATACTACTAATACTAAATCGCTTACTCCCGAAACTGAGGATCTAGTCTTACATTATAACGCCGAAATACGGAAAACCCTCTCGCAAATCAGATGGAAATATGCTGCATGGTTTGCCCCGGACCAACCTGCGGGCCCAACCTGGGTAAAGGCTTATACTTGTGCTGCTGCACCGGCGTCCGGCTTTGTCCTGGCAATGTATTGGTTCCTGGATAAGGTTTCTTCGGATCTGGTTTCTTTTGTTCAATTGGCGGTGTAAACGGCTTCGGTTGACCTGGCTTCACGACCTTCTTCTTCTCGGTAGGATATGCTGGCTTAGGGATGCTGTTGTTCGGAGCAGCAGATGTTGCAGCTGAACCCTTGAATGGGGGAATGGATTTGGTAGCTCCGTTGAGCGCTTTCCGTCCACTTCCTACGACGCTACCCGAACCTTTTGCTGCCGTGGATGAAAGAGTGCCGATTGTGCTGTTTGCACGACCCACGACGCCTCCGGTTGCTCTGGATGCGGTGCCTGTGACTCCGCCAATGGCTTTGTTGGCTCCTCCCGCCGTCTTCTTAGCTCCGCCTACAGCTCCTTTTACTTGATTACCGCCGGGATACTTCTTCGCGCCCAAGGGTAATCCGCTTGTCGGTGGTTTGGCATTTACAGGCATGGAATTCGAGCGCTTCATTGCGGGTTTACGGGCAGTCGAGGGCAAGGCCTTTGCTGAAGGCTTGTAAGGCTGGCCTGTGATGGCAGTACCATAGTTCGTCGCCTTTTTTTCTATGCCTAAGAGATGGACTCAGTCAGTATTTCCTATGAAAAGTTGAGGGTATAGCATTCCATATGAATCCGGGAGGGCTCTGGGAGTGGAGCAAAAAAAGTGTCAAACTTACCGGTTCCTATGTTCCTACCGCTATTCTCAATCATATCCCCAGCTTTAATCAACGCATTTCCACCAAATTCGCCTGCCGATTTCTTCCCCGCATCCACGAATCCCTCGACAGAGTTCCAGATGATATTTGAAATGAAGCTCGTCATTCTCGCAGATGCAACAAAACAAGAGGCAGCACCGACGACTAATCTCCTAAGCTGGCAAACGCAATATATCTCAGAATATCGGTTACAAGACAGTACGTAGCAGCTCTACATGCAACCCTAACGTAGTAGAATATAGTATGTATGTAGTGGCAAGTAAAGTAAGTAGTAGGAAACTCAATCTCTCTCAGAACACAGCAATCACTCCAGACTCACCCAGACCCTCTTTTTTTCCCTAATTCGCCGCCGATCTCTTGTCATTGCGGCAAAAAGTGCGCCACTGCGCAACTCTTTAGAACCGGTTTCGAGAATGCAGGGTGCGTGCGTGCGACTACCGGTGTACGCTATCCTGCCGCAGCAACAACCCCCGCATCTCCATGACGTACGCTTTACCACAGAGTGTTCCGCCCAACTCAGCCATGGCGCATGTCGATCCCTGGTACAAGACGCAGGTTTTCTTTGGGTTTTTTGGGCGTGACGGGACCCGGCTTGCTGTGGCAAGTGTCCATTTTCTTCCTTTAGTGAGAAGGCCATTTTACTTTTGTTTCAGGGGTAACCTTACCAGACGACATCACAAGACAGCAATTGACCAGGAAAACAGTTTTGCAGTACCATTAAGATTTTCGCTGTCATTCTCATCTATAACTATTCGTACAAAAAAGCCATGCTTGCCTGCGTTTAAAAAAAAAGCCACCTATTTCGTTATACATACTGAAATAGTCCTTCTAACGCCGCTGTAAAAGAGAAAAAAATGAAATAGAAAATGATAACGTGGTGAAGACACGATTGCTGTCATTCAAGCCGAACAAGCAAAAGAAGAAGAAAAGAACTAGACACTAAGCACCCTGCCTAGCCTTCTCAGCACAAATCAGCGCAATAATGCGACTCAACTCGGCACTCTGCGCAAACTGCTCTTGCTTCGTCTTCTCATCCACATCCTCGCACGCAGCAATGTCGTTGCTAACAGTCAACATGCGGTTCTGCAGTGTCAACAGCTTGGACAGCGTGTTGTCAAGGAAGGGCGCGCTAAAAGTGATGTTCGTGGGTGAAGCGCCGCTGTTGGGGATGCGCATTTCGAGCTTTCGCGGGGGCTTGCGGGGCGCGGGTTGCGATTGCACGGCGCCGTTTTGTTGTGGCTGAGGCCTTTTGAGAACAAAACTTGTCAGTGAATGATCTTTCTTTAAGGGGAAGGAGGGCAGCGAGACTCACTTTTCTCGCTCGACAAACGTCATGTTTTCTGCCATTTCGGCGACGCGGTTGGCGATTCTCGAGGCCATGATGGTGTAAGGCGACATTTGGGGGTGCGATGCTCCGTTTACGGCGCCGTTTGTTTGGGGCTTCTTGGTTGCGGCTGTGCCGGCCTTCTTTACATTTCTTGTGGCAGTCGTCTTGTTGGGGGTGTGTCTGACAGGCGCTGATGCTACTGAGGCAGGCATTGTGGTAGATGTGTGATGTTTCTTTTGAGAATGATTCTGATGAATACGTGTCAGTGGATAGAACTTGGAATGTCTGCTAATACTACACATAGGCAGGGTTGGTTATCAAGGGGGGACTACTTACTGCTTAGTCAAAATGTGGGTGATGACTCTGAGAGGAAATACAGGCGATGCTATTGAGGAGCAGATGTATACTGCGGAGTGCGTATATTATTTAGTGAGGAAGCTAACAAGCTAGCAGAGAGGGAATGGTTATGGTCCCATATCTTGCTTTGGCGTGGCCATAGTGTACAGCGCCACACATCGACGTCATATCGCGGCTGACAGACCAGGGTTGACGGGACACAAGTGGAGCAGCCGTCTTGATCTCGACCCTGCACTGACGTCGCGGGTCGCGGGTAGCCCGTTACTGGGGGGAAGGTTGCGAGGCTTTGTGTTTGCCGTTTGGACATTTGAATGTTTGCGTGTTTTTGCTACTATTCAACATGCCACCAGCGACAAAAAAGCCAACGCCGGCTATCAAGTCAACGGCTCCCAAACCTCCCGCTAAGCTGTCGACGGGCGCTGCTGCGGGCCAATCAAAAACTAGAACGCCAGTGCCGGCATCTGTCAAGAGAAAGAAGAAGGACGACCTGGGCGCTGGGCTGCGAATCTCAAAAGACAATGTTGATGCGCATCCAGCTGGGCCACCGCGGTATGGCGAGCTGACACAGGCAGAGAGAGCATTCACATTGGCCTCGACCTTTTTGTCTGGAGTGTTAGCGTATGCATACCTAGCCATCGCCCTCGGGGCACAATCAAACTGACACATCGTAGCATAAGCGCTTCGCAGTTCCTAGGCGCGCCGTTGAAACTCATCGATCCTCAATTCTACGATGGATATATGGCCTATACCAAAGAATGCTTCGCCATCCTCATCACCTGCCTGACCCAATGGTGGGCGCCAACAGTCGTCCGTGTCTCTGGCGACTCCACCATGGTCGGCCAGCTCATCAAGCGCAAAGATGGTTCTCTTCAGTGTAATTTTGCCGACCGTATGGTCCTCATGGCGAACCACCAGCTCTACACCGACTGGCTTTACCTATGGTGGATTGCCTACACGAACAATATGCATGGCTTCATCTACATCATCCTGAAGGAGTCGCTAAAGAACATACCCATTATCGGGTGGGGCGCACAGTTCTACAACTTCATCTTTCTGTCGAGGAAGTGGGAAGAGGACGAAAGAACTTTTAAGAGGCACCTCTCCAAGCTGAACAAGAAGGGGGATCCCATGTGGCTCATCATCTTTCCTGAAGGAACGAACCTGTCTCCGACGACTCGGGAAAAAAGCAAGAAATGGGCGGATAAGAACGGACTCCAGGATATGAAGCATCAACTACTTCCTCGCAGCACGGGTCTCAAGTTTTGTCTCAACGAACTGAAGGACACTACGGATTGGCTTTATGACTGTACCATTGCATACGAAGGTATACCGCCCGGCCAATATGGACAAGATATATTCACACTGCGTTCCTCATTCTTCGAAGGTCGACCCCCGAAATCCGTGAACATGCACTGGCGCCGCTTCCGTCTCGCAGATATTCCTTACGAAAATACACACGCATTCGAAGTATGGCTGAGAAACCGCTGGCGAGAAAAGGACTACATGCTCGAATACTTCAACCGCAACAACCGGTTCCCCGCCGAAGACTTTTGGAAAAACCACCTCGACATGGACATTCGGAGCGAGTCTAGCCGCAGCAATGGCAAAACCATCCGCACCATCCCCCGTCCTGCAGTTCAGATCGAAACCGAAGTCAAGAGCGGTAACTGGAACGAATTCGTCAAAATCTTTGCGCCAATTACATCCATCATGATGGCCCTGACCGTCGCTTACGGCGCCTCTCCCGACGACATACCTATACCAGGCGGCAAAGAGTTTTTCGAAAACCACATGAAGATGCTCCTAGGCCAAGGCACCGGCGACATGAGCAAACTCCCTGACCCAGACCAACTCGAGAGAATGATCGAAGGCGCCGCAAAGATGGGCGCCGAACAGGCCGCCTCCCCAGACCAAATGTCAAACGTCCAACGCCTGACGCAAGAAAACCTCGCGAAACTCGTAAAAGAGACAGCGATATCGAGCGGTGCCGTACTACCCAACGGCATGCGCCGTCCGACCTCAACCATGCCACCACTACCAAAGACCTTACAAACGCCCAACACGAATGCTAAGCTTCCGATCCGTAAAGCCCAAAGCGCCACAGCAGCAACAGCGACCAAGAAACCCACATCCACCCCTTCAAAACTCAGCGCCCTTCCCGCAAAGAAACCCACCCCCAACGGCCCCACCAAGGACGTCCTCCTCGCCTCAGGCGTCACGATCAAAATTCCCCAGACACAAGCTGAGCAGGCGAAACAGACAGGCACCGTGACGCTGAATAATGGTGTTGTGATTAAGATTGATAAAAGGGAGATTGAAGAGGCGCAGAAGAAGGTGAAGGAAGGAAGGGGAGCAGGAGGAGGAGGAGGAGGAGGCACCGTGGTGACGAAGAGTGGGGTGCCGATTAAGATTACGCCTGGGGATGGGGTGGTGAAGAAGGTTGGGGGAGGAACAGGAGGGGGGAAGAAGGTAGGGGGTGGACCGAGGAAGATTTGAGGGTTTGATGAAGGAGGAATAAAGGGTAAAGGGCGTTTTTTCTTTCTTTGGGAGGATAGGTCTGGGATATATTGGCTTCAGCACGGAAGGGCTGTATGAATGATTGTAAATGAGGGGCTGGCGTTTTTGTTCCCTTTTGATATCTTATTATAAACTCCTGTCGTTCTATATGTACGTACAACACTTTCGATACCATAATTCTTATTCAAAAAAAATCATCTACATATACACCTCGCCTCATCTCTTCTTCTTGGCCAATTCCTCCTGCTGCAATTTGTGCATCCTGGCTCTTGCGCTCTTACTACCTCCCATCTTAGGTCCTGAAATCGATGGCGCCGCACCCTTGGCTGTTGACGCTGCTGTTTTACGGGCTGCGTGGTGCTGGCGCCTTGCTTCCATAGATTCGAAATACTCGGTGCGGAATTGTTCGACGAGCGCGTCGTCGGTATTTGTATGGGTGGAGGTTGCGGCGAGGGGGATGGATGGGGCGGGAGCATCGAAGTAGTCGACTGTTGCGGAATAAAGTGGTTAGTAGGAATGAAAGAATGGAGAGAAAGAAATATGGTGGGAGACATACGCTTTGCCTCGCTAAGTACGGCCTCGACCATCTGATCGCGCTTCTTGTCCTCGTCCGTCTTCCCACCCCCTCTCGGCTTGCGCCACCCATAGCCATACTTGTCTCGTGGCGCCTTGCTCGCCGGTTGTTCAGGTTCACCCTTCTCCAGTCGTTTCCAAGCCTGCTCGATGCGCGCTTTGGCTTCTGGGCCCAGATCTACTTCTTGAAGTTTGCCCTGGCCCGCTGCCAATCGCTCGCTGTGTTCCTTATCCGCCAGATTCTCTGTTCCCGCTGGCGCACGCACAGATGTTCTTGAAGTAAATGTGTGTTGTAGATCCGGCGCGATGGCTGCTACTGAAGCTTGAAGGTGCTGTGGGATAGGCCAGCCGTATTGACGATAGTTCTTTTCAGCCATGCGGGCTTCTACGTATTCCGACCTAGCACATCAATGTCTGCACTTGCCACACCCAGACGCGCTGACCTTTTGGGCCCTGTCGCATAATCCACTTACATCTGCTTGTCGTCGCGATCCACAACCTGTCCTGTCTGTGCGACAAAACGCCCCGTATATTGATCTGGTCGCGGTGCGTCGTCCATGTGAACCATGTCCGTCCGGGGAACCTCTACCTTGCGCACGCCTTCCTTGAGGCGATCCCGAGGGCGCTTTCTGTTGCGGAGTATCTCTTTCAGGTTTGGAACCGACTCTTCATCGTTGTTGGCTTCGGTCGAGTGCGACGGCGCGTGCAGCAAACTGGCTGTATCTGGGGATTGCGAGGTGACGACAGTAGGTGCATCTTCTTCAACAGCGACGCGCTTCGGGTGGGTAGTCTTGCGACGCTTGAAGCGTACTGCAGATGCTGAGCTGTCGTCTTGTACCGTTGCCATGTTCTGGAAACCTGCACGAGTTTGTTGCGAAGCGTGTAGGCCGTCCATGAGTGTCGATGTGCTAAGGACCGAGGTCGCGAACGGTACTAGGTAAGAGGGTCCACAACGTCATTGGCAAACACGTTTACTTTGCTCACCGAATATGGGCCTGTGGATAGAGAACAGTGCTTTTACTACATCGCAAGACTATGTTTGAGCAAGAGCAGCAAACAGTCATTCGGTCCGTACCCCAGAAATACGCGTCATGGGTCCACACCGCACTATCACACAAACGCACAATCAGATGGACAATGAGATCTGGAGCACCTGCATGGCGTGATTCTCACCTTACATAGCCAGTTCCCCGCCAGTTCTCCGCACCAGTATTTAACATTTCTCAGCCCTGTCACTTACGCCATTGGGAACATTCTTTTCCTTTGTCGAACACATCACACATACTTCACGAAGAAGCCAAACTGATATATCTCAATATTCAAGTGTTTTTGTTCATTGCGATGATAATTTAGGTATTCTTTCGGCTTGCCTGTACAATAAGCCAACATTCCTAACACACAAACGCCCTTGACCCAATCGATACATCAAGTAACGAGAGACTAAATATCAGGTTTCTTCATAGGCCACTTTTCACTCTTTCCTTTGGTATCCTCGGTATCAATTTATGCTAAACATGCTTCTTAGGCCGCCGCAGAGGACACAGTCTCGACTTCAACCTTTGGCAACGGCGCCGACTTGCCGCCTAGATCTGTTTGTCGTGCCTTGGGGTTCTTGGTATAGTAGTTGGAGATAGCGGACTTGATGGCATCCTCGGCAAGCATAGAGCAGTGCACTACAGCTAGTTAGTATCATCTTATCACACATAACCTTGGATCGAAAAAAAACTCACGCTTTACAGGTGGTAGGCAGAGCTCTTTGGCAATCTCTGTGTTCTTGATCCGCGCCGCATCCTCCAATGTCATGCCTCGGACCAACTCGGTCAGATAACTCGAGCTGGCAATTGCGCTACCACATCCGAATGTCTTGAACTTGACATCGCTGATGGTGTTGTTGTTGGGGTCGACTCGGATCTGGAGCTTCATGACATCGCCACATGCGGGTGCGCCGACGAGTCCGGTGCCGACATCGCTGTCAGTCTTTGTCATTGAGCCGACATTTCGTGGCCTGTTATAGTGGTCGAGCAGTGCTGCGCATGTTAGCTGAGCGTTCTCATACAATTGCTGTTATCGAACAAGATTGGCCCAATCATAGGTGAGTCTTGCAAGCTTTCCGATATCGCCATGCCATCCATCTTCAGGCCAAGTAGACAAAGGGTGACTTATCTTTCTCGTGGTATTGTCGCCTTCCGACTGTTGATACTACAGGTGCTGCTGTGCGGATGGGTGATGCGATGCTGGGTCTCGCGGCGGTTGCAAGTACTCGTCCGGCCTGGGCAGGCACGGCTGCTGCGACTCTTCTGAACATGATGATGGACTCGGTATGCGCAGTTTATCTGTTAAAAAATCGATATTTGGAAGTTGTTGTGGGAGCAGGTAGGTGTTGGGATGTGTGTGTAGGTGTGGCGGAGATGATAGATGGCGACGGGCAATAGAAGTACTGCGCGGAAAAGCGTGATCGGCGACGTAATCTGTGCGCTAACTACCCCACACTTAGCACATGTCTCATGGTCGGCCAATCGAGTCGGAGATAAACCGCCCAGCACCGACAGAATGAAGCCCGCTTGAAGCTTTCATTGCTGTTACAACACTACTAGTAGTATTTACTTAATATGCACTTCGGCATAATAAATGCAGAGCCAGCGAATTCGTCTCGTCAAATTTTTTTCAAAATAATTTTGTCATGGTGCTGTATCTCGTAGTAAAGGTGGCTAGTTTTGGTCTGGGTTCTCCGGTTCCACTGATCGACCGAGAACATGCATCATCAGCCAAAAGCTTCTATGTCGCCGCAGAGCCCAGACGCTTCCATCCACGACATACTTATCACATGGAAACTTTTGCTATTAATACATTCCGCATCTGCTTCATCTCTACAATGCTAACAATTGGGCAAAAGCCATCGCCTCAAACACAGCTCCTTTTGGCTATGCTACAACTGTCAATGCTAATCCGAGCCAACTCCGCGTCCGCTATGCTAGTCCGTGATGCAAGACCTAGACCCTTCGTCTTACAAACGCCTAAAGAAATACACATAGGCAAACTTCTTCATCTCCTCTACGTCTGCAGCCTTGGCCACCTTTTCGTCATTGAATAAAACCCACGAGGCCGACTGTTCGTTTTGCAGTTGCTTGCGGACAAATGCAACGTAGTGTCTGTGTGGTGTCAGTTCATGGTCATGTGCAGTACCGTCTAGCGATGTTTCTAGATTGTTTAGCTTACCCAGCATGGATCGAGCTTCCCTTGTGACACACAATCGACTGCAACTGGAAGTTCGCAGGCAGCTTGTCACTACCCGCTAATGCCTTCTCCGTCGCATCAGCAGGGGCATCAGAGCTGCCGCCTTCTTCAAAGTCACCGGGTGCATCCGGATGGCTGAACAACCAGTCTACAGCTCGCTCCATGTCGCCACCTGTCTCCTTGAGAGCTTGTCGTGCCTGGGGAGCGCTGAAGCCCATAGCACCTAGGTTCTCAATCTTTTCGGGGTCAATAGCAGATGCAGCAGCCGTGTTCCCACTCGAGCCAGCATTGAAGTCGACGGGATCATCAATATCAGGATCCTCCATGTGCGCGAACAACCAGTTTGACGCTGCTTCAGCATCTTCATTTCCTGTGGCATGTAGCGCTTTCTCACACCTGACCCTTGGGAAGCCCATGGCTTCGAGCATCGATAGCGCCGCCTCGTTGGGGATCCACTTGCCTGCCGATCCTCCAACTCCCCCCATATCAACGTCGTCGGGAAGGAGTTCTTCCCCTTCACTCAATCCGTTTGATTTGTAGGCATCAAACGAGAATGGCTCGTCGTTAACGATGACTGGCACATCCTGCTTCGTAGGTACCCAGTTCACCAACTCAAAGCGTCTTGCGTTCACTGCCAAAACCGACGGAAAGGTCTTGAACATGCTCCTCTTTGTGAAACCATCCTTGCTACCGCAGGCACTGCAGGTAAGCTCTACCAGTTCTTCAGCCGTGAAAATGTCAATACATTCCTTCAGCGAGACAGGTTCAAACTCTTCTTTCTCTTCCTTTTTGCCGTTGCCATCAGTGACGTCCATTTGCGATTCCTTCGGTATCCTACGAATAGGCACAGGAATCGAAATATTTTCCTGTTCGTCTGTCCTATACCGAACGCGTTTACAGCCAACACACTGTAGCCGCTGCTCCATAACAAATCGGAAAGCATCGACAGGGTCTTTGTGGGGTGCAACGTGCTGTGACCGAGAGATGAGCTTAAGCATATGCAGGAGCAGTTCGAAGGCATCTTGCTGCCGCATTGTAGAGAATTCGGCGTGGCCTCGCCCAATCAAATGCTTCAGCATCGCAGGCGCAAGACCGCGCTGGTGCGGGATTTCCGGACTCTGCTCGTTGGTAATGACGTCGGTGTCGGGCTTCGAGTATCGACCAGAGATCATGCCATCTGCAATCTTGCGCAACTGAGTTTCCAGGTCTTCTGCAGGAAGTGCTGCATCAGGTGGCGCCTGGTCGGGCAAGTAATACCGCTCCTTGAACTCTGGCATCGAAAACAGAGCCTGCAGCGTGCTGTTGAGATAGCAGCTGTTGCCCAAATTCTTTAGTCCCGTCAGTTCTGGTCCGAACAATGGCTGCAGCTCTTTTCCGTCCTCCGTCACCATGGCAAAGTCCCATCGCAAATTCTGCTCAACCTGCATCTCAGTGAGACTCTTCTCCGTTTTCACCCTGTCCTTGATGTTGATGCCCCAATGCGCCAAGTGGTCCGGTAACTCTGGATCAATGCGCTCCTCGTCACAAGCATAGCAGTAGATGTCGGCTGTACCGTCAGCAGTGAGGGAACCAAGTTTGACTGCAACTGGGTGGCCCGTTGATTTGGTATGACCAACACCGTGTGAGTTGCCACCAACGCCACCAAACTGCTGACGACCGCAACCCAAGTTACCACAGGACAAACATAACCACAGGTTCTCGTTCAGCTCGCATTCTGAGCAATGGCCCAGCTTTTGAGACTCAATTTGCCGTGCTGCATCCTGCTCGAGGCACAGCGTATGTTCGCAAGCGGTCAGCTCTTGCTCCCATGCCTTGACCTCTTGCTGCTTGGCGAATGTGTTGGCCTTGAGAACCGCGTCGACGATGTCCGGAAGCTTTCCAGAGCTCTTATCGATGTCGTCAACTCCACACTCGTAGCACTTGACTTGAGTTGTAGTGTCGTAGCGGTCGGATTCGGTTTCAGCTGCCACAGCAAGCTTTGTCATCTTCTGGGGCGGTTCGTCGCGCTGGACTCGCTTTCGTGTGCGCTTAATGTTGAGGACAATCGGATGGTTTGTAGACGAGACGTGAAGGAGAGCATGGCTGCGATCGCTCGTGCAGCCTCCATTGAAGCAGTATAGGCAGACATCGAGGCCGGTGGGGTCGTCGATCGAGTCGAAGCACTGAGTACAGTCTTCCCTGTAGACCGACTGCATGGGGCCTGGGGGCCGCAGCTCTATTTCATGTCAGTACATCGCTCGTTGAAGTCAAAGCTACACGGAAAATCATATCCAAGGCAACAGGCCGTCCACTCGAGTGATTGCCACCTTGAATCCGTTATTGCAAATGCTGGCTTTGCTTAGACAGAGCCATAGGAGAACTGACCGGATGCGTTGACGTGCTTGCAAGCCATGTCTGTGAGCGAGCTGTGTGGAGAAAAGATATGGCGTTGATTGCTGGATTCAAGTCTAGAAATGTTTGGTACGACATGGCAGACAGCTACGTTAGGGCTACCGAAGACCCCCGCCGCGGGGCAAGACTAGTGGGGACCTTCCAATTCCCACTGACCTCAAACATGAGTGAACCGCCACCAACGACTGTACAGCAGTTGGAAAGCAGCTCCACGTGACTGCACAATTTCTGCAGTTTACATGACGAAGGTACATCACATGTAATCGGCTTTGATGATGGATTTTGATGAACAGAAACCAGTCAGAACTTCAAGTGTTGACCAATCACATACTACTTTATTGGACTACAACCCAGACTTACTTTTACCACTAACTCACTTTCCTTGTTGCCGCGCGTTGACGGACCAGTTTTGAAACTGCGTAAAAAGCACAGGTTGGAGAGGAGACTTCTTGTCTGCGAACCACTGCTTCTGTGTCTCTGCATATATATCCACCACACCAGCATAGTTTTCTCTATCCATGCCAACGAGCACCTTTGCAACATGCAGACTAGCGGAGCCACATGCGTCTGCATGGACCTTGGCCCCGTTACCCAGCTTTGCTTCCTCATGAATACCCCTTAGCAGTTCCCACACAGGCTCAGTGCTCTCTGGCTTTGGTAGAGGGGCCTTATGTTTTGTGCGAGTGTCGAAGAAGGTCTTGAGCATCTTAGCTGCCTTGTCGGCCGTCTGCTTGTTTGCGTTGGCGCGAGTGCGGCGAAGCACTGGAAGTAAAATGTCCAGTGTGAGTGGGTTCGAGTATTGCTTCTCCATATATATGGCAAGTAGATCAAGTACCCTTGACTTGAACTGGACCACGTTTTGCTTGGCGTCCTCCCGCTCTTTCTTCTTACTTGCTGTCTTGCTCCTTTCCTTGAAAATCTTGCTGAGATGTGGATCCAGCGCCATCATCTGCTCATCGTCCATGTCCGACTCGTCTGATGTCTCTTCTGCTGCATCACCATTGACGTTCGGCTTGGACGTCTGAAGAGTCATGGCCAGCATATTGTTAAACTGTGTCAGCTCGGCATCCTCTTCGTCGTCCTCGCCATCGCTGCTTCCTTCGCTGTCGCTGTCACCATCACTGGAGTCTGACTCAGAAGCATCTTTGGATTCTTCTCCATCAATCATCTCCACGTCAGAGTCCACTTCATCTCCATCTTCATCGTCGTCGCTTGATTCATCTTCCTCGACGTCTTCATCACCCTGGTCGAAAAGTTCCCTCTGCCCTTCTAGATTTTCTTCCGTATCCAGGATGTCGGTCAGCGATCGGAGTCCATCAGCACTGATCTCCGAAGCAAAGATAGAGAATGCCTCTTCTCCTATGCGACGAAACAATGTGCGTGTGTTGCCCGAGAACGAGAGCACAATCTCTACAAAGGCATTCTGGCCGTCGGGCGTTGAAGACTTTTTCTTCTTCGACGAAGCTTTTCGAGATGCTTCAAAAGCTTTGTACGAAGCATCGAGGTCGTCAAGCATCATAACAGCGTCGCCTTCACCATTGTAGACTTGTAGAAGCGTAAGCGAGTACAAAAGCATGAAGCCTTGCGCAGCCATTTCGTTGCCAGCTATCGAGCCCTATAACTTTGTGTCAGTCAAATCAAAAATGAGACTAGAACTTGTACTTACAGCCTCAGAAATATTGGCGAGAGTCGCTGATGCTTGCTTAATGGTACTCAGAATGGAGGGGTCTGCCTTCAAGACAAGTTCCAATTTCGAAGACTTTCCACTCTTAGCTTTGATCATATCAATGACCAGTAGCGCGACATCTGCGCGGTTTCCAAGCTTGACGTCAAGCAGCTTCGTCAGACAAGAAGAGAGACGTTCCTGGAATATCGTCCTACTGCGATCGCTGACAGGCGGAAGTGGCATCTTTTTGGTTTCTGCGTTTTGAGCAGGGACAAAATAGGCACATTCTACCAGCGTCTCCAAGGTCTCTCGGAGCCAATTCGATTTTCTTTCATCCAATGGGCGGCCTTCTTGTCTATGAGCAACCTTCTTCTTGAAGGTTTTCTCGTTGAACTTCTCATATCGTTTGTAGAGTTTGACCGTGCTCAGCAGTAAGTCCGCGATGGATTGTCTACGGCTGTCAGCAACCGCTTGATCCTCGCTTTCTGGACGCAGGATCAACGACTTGAGATGGCGTATGATTTTCATCAAGCTCTTATCGTCCGCTGATAAAAGAATTTGCTCGAGTGTCTTCGTCTTTGTGATGCGGTCAAACTCAACACTTCCATTCTTTGATGTTAGCGCAACGAAGATCGGCAATGCTATTCCGTCTTCTTGCTCAACCCGAAGTTGGACTGAACTCAGCGCCGCTAATGCGGCCGAGTGGAGAAATCTGTCCTCCTTCTTGCTCTGGTTGATGAGGGTGCGCATCAGGTTGGGACTGAAAAGTGCTGGCACAGCCCAATCAGGCACTCGTGTAACCATGCTGGATAGTAGCTTGAACCCCCAGGCTTTGCGTTCATGGGACGCGGAAGAAGAAAAGAGATTGCCTGCATTATGTTAGTCGTGCAAGGAAACAATATTTCCTTGCCATCATAAACTTACCATCCACAGTGTCAATCCAGAATTGTGGAAATTCTGGTTTGTTCTGGGCATCTTCTTTTGCTGCCTCGTCTCTGCGCAGCATCTCAGCGAACGCTAGGTCCCAGGTAAAGGACGGATTAGGGTTCGTGGTTCCAGTCTTTGTGGTTTCTTTCTTCCCGGCTTCTGATTCGGTCTTGTTGAAGTCTTCCTTTAAGATTTTGGCCAAGCGAGAGCGCTCCTTTTTGGATAGGGGATCTTTGGTATGCCAGACGCCCTCTGAAAGGGCCTCGGGATAGCTTTCCTTGACGGTGAGCCATACAGCCACACCCTCAGGGGTTAAAATCAGCTGGAATGAGTTGAGGCGTTCGAGCAATTCCTCGACACACTTCTGATACTGTGACTGGCCTTTCAAGCTCCTCACTGCTTCGACAAGAACCATGCCGCATTCTTCGCGTAGCCAAGGAATGTCGCGCGCCATCTTGTAAACTTGGTCTAGTAGCTTGTTCCAGCTCTCCAAAGAAATCTGGGGCTCAATTAGAATCGATGATTGCATGATAGCCTTGAAACCGAAAAGTTTTCCGATTGTATGATCTCGTCGTTCCTATGGAAATTAGCATTGAGAACATGTGCCGTTGTTGTCGTTCTCTTACTTTTCCTGGCACGTTGCCCTTGGGCTTCGTCTTGTCCTCAACCATTTTAATGATGGATGCTACATCGAGCTCCAGACCTTCGATTTCGCTCTTCTTTTCCCCAAAGATCTGGCGGAGAAACTCGGTCAATGTGAGTGAGAATCCAACTCTGGCTGCTTTGCGTTGACTGCATAAGCCTTTTATAAGTCGTACTAGGGCTTCCTCAACGTCCTTTGCGGCTGGTTTGTTCTCAGGAGCGAACCTGACAATAATTTGTTTGGCGGCTTCAAAGCGAATGTCATCCTCCTCTGCGGCCAGATCCACGTACAGCTTCGAGAGCTTTACCTGATCATCAATGCTCTGTCTGCGCCGTTTTGCGGGCGCCTCGTCCACCTTTTCAACCTGGTCCACATCGCGCTCCCTCTTTTGCGTCTTGCTACCCATTTCTATTGTTAATTGTCAGTACGTGAGTTGAAGTTCATGTCGCGTTGCGAAGTTCGAGAAAAGTTGAGCACGGTTTCCCCGAAAATTCAGGTACTAACCGCATTTGGACTAAAGCTACAGGGTTTATCTGAGTAGTTCCTGAGTGTAAAGGCTTCAAATGCCTGCACGACAACGTGCAGGACTATATACATGCCAGTAGGGCAATCCACATAAAATGTCTGTCCTAAAAACTGAAGGCAAAGGAATTTGCCAGCATCTAGTGACGTCATTGCTCTTGGAATCTTATGGGTTCACATCACTGACATTATACTGTTAAGTCACGAGAGAGTTGACAATTACACACGAGAAGCAGCACAGAACACCTGAGGATAACTGGGTGAGAGCTTTATGTATCGCAAGTCTCGAGCCCCAATGCCAAACTGCTTACATTTCGTCCATATCATCAAGACCTGTAAAGGCACTAAGCGGCCTTGTTGGCCTTGCGGCTTCCCGATGTGGTTGTTCCTCTGTTGGTTCCGCTGAAGTCTCTTCCAAACTCGCCTCATTACCCAGGGCCTTCTTTCTTTGCTCTTCTAGATACGCTGGTATGTCGAACTGGTCCAGGTCGTTGCCCTTCTCGCGCCAGTACGAGAGACGATAGAGAATGCCGTTACGAATCTTCTCGGTGCTTGGCCAGGGGTACCATGCCAGATTGCTGGCTTTCAGTTTCCTGAGCCACTCTTCCTCTTCGGCAGTGATGTCAGGGACAGCTCCATCTGCATCTTCGCCCCCCTTCTGTGCCTCTGAGCTATCATTGGGTAGGTCTACAGCGTCTGACACGATGGCGGGCGTGTTCATGCCATTAGTGGGTGCACCACTCGAGCCCATATCGTCGTCGTCCTTGTCGGTGGTAGGGAGGCGCTCGCGATATGTCGGGGGCACAGTGTACCTCGAGATGTTGGTGGCGTACTGTAGGAGCTCATCAAATGGCACAGCACGCGATTCTGGAGAAAAGGTCGTCGCGGGCGTGTTGAAAAGCTCGCGACGTAGTTCGGCAAGCTTCCTGACCGAGTCTCTGAGCTGGGCTTCTAGAGCATCTGCCTCTGCGCGCAGGGTTTGGATGCGGCCGTGGTTTGCTTGGTGTTTGGCGACTACAACATGTCAGCGAGCAGCGCCAGTGGGAAGCGCGGGGCAGGGTGTGTATGCGCACGTTGGTCGAGGCCGTCGCTCAGCTGGTCATCAGCGGCCACGAGGTCGATTGCGGCTTGAGTGGCTGGATTGTAGGCGGCAATTGAGTCAATCAGGGTGGTCAGGGCCCTCTCGACCCTGCCAAACTGCTCATTGAGAACGTCGTCCATGAGCGGTGGGGGTGAGACGGATGTTCACACGTTCACAAGTCCACGCAGCAGAGCAGTGGTTGGCGCGCCCGCTAGCGGTTGACAAGGGACCACGCGCGGGCACGTGACAGGACAGGCGCGGATGATGCGCAAGCGGAGGCGCAGGTGCAGGTGCAGGTGGCCGAGGATGGGATGGGGTCATAGGGCTGGGATGGATGCAGGTCGCGCGCCTGGTGCGTAGTGCGTAGAGCTGAATGGCCGGCCCTAGGCAGCCCAAACCTGACTGACAGCATGATGGACAGCCACAGATATGGATACACCCTACTATGCATACTGCATAGGCGCTCTGCCAGGCCCGGGACAAGCATGCGAGTGCGGGACATGACGACGACGCTGCCCACAAGGGCCCCAGTCCCCCGTCCACTGTCTGGACCCGCGCTGCTTGTCCGCTCGGAGGCGAATCTCCGCTGCCATCCCGCGTCATATTATGTATACATATCTTGTGCCTCCCACCACCCTCCATCCGCTGCCTTACCCGTCCTGACCTAGTCGTCTGCTGCTTGTCACGTCACCCTTCACCGTTGCCTGTCCCTACACCTACTCAGCCTGAGAAGAGAGCGCTACGCCCCTTGCTTGCAGAGCCATTGTCGCAGCCCCGCTATCTATTGGTCCGCCACTACCATCACATACCATACTTTGGTGCTGCTCCGCCTACCAACACTTTTACCACTGCCTAGCCGCTTCTCCCCTACATACGTATCCCCGCCCGTTCCTAGAAAATCTCCACTCACGGTAATCCAACCCTCGTCCAGCCATGGGTAAATCGTAAGTTTGGCTTTTCATTCCCTTGCTGCTTCTGTAAGGCGGGGCCTCGGCGCCTCCCACCTCGACGTCGGACAACTCCTGCCCTCTGTCCCGAATATACGCTGCTCCAGGTCAAGGCTGTACGCTGCTCCCGATCTCGCCATGGTTTCTGGACCAAATTCAAAGTATCCGTGCCTCAACCCCGCTCCTGGCCCCAGCCCGCGCGAGCATGCAACCGCGACTCGATACCTACAACCGCAGCGACAAGCATGCGCGAGCACCGTCTGCGCCCTCAATCCCTTCGCAGGAACTCGCGAGACCCTTTCTTGGGCACCGGCATCTGCCCCTCAAGTTTGCGCGCCGTCATCACCTTCACCCACCCCACCTGGGCGAGGCTAGACATGCGCACTACAGGGACATGCAGAGAGTTGCCTTGACGAATGCCGTGCGCGAGTTCGAGAAGGGCCTGGGGCTGTGCTGCCACATAGCGTGCCTCGAGATTCAGAATCAGCTGCTGATTGTGCGATACTACAGCCAGAGTAAATTGTCCCAGCAGGAGCTGGCCGATCTGCAGAAAGCAACACACTTCGACAAGAAAGAATTACAGCAATGGTACAAAGGTGCGCATAGATTCGATTGAAGTAAGCGGCTTGTGGCTGAGTATACATGTCTAGGCTTCCTAAAGGACTGCCCGTCGGGTATGCTCACCAAGGAAGAGTTCCAGAAGATCTACAAGCAATTCTTCCCGTTCGGCGATCCGTCATCGTTTGCAGACTATGTCTTCAACGTTTTTGATGCAGACAAGTCAGGCACAATCGACTTCAAAGAATTCATCTGCGCGCTGAGTGTCACCAGCCGTGGCAAGATGGAGGACAAGCTGGATTGGGCGTTCCAGCTGTACGACATTGATGGCGACGGCAAGATAAGCTACGAGGAGATGCTGGCCATTGTAGAGGCCATCTACAAAATGGTACGTATACATCGGCGCCAGGATAGACTCATCTCTAAAGCATGCAGGTTGGCTCCATGGTCAAGCTCCCAGAAGACGAAGACACACCCGAGAAGCGCGTCAAGAAGATCTTCCGGATGATGGACAAGGACGAGAACGGTAGCTTAGACATGGCTGAATTCAAGGAGGGTTCCAAGCGCGACGAGACCATTGTTTCGGCCTTGTCTCTCTACGATGGTCTTGTTTGAAGAGGAGGGTTGATACCCAAGGTCGTTTCCTATTCTTGTTTCGTTATAGTCGATATCACAGCGCATTTGTGGGATTCGGGCGTGCCATCGTGCCCTTGCTGCCAGGGGCGGAAAACGTTGACTTCGCCTCGGCGTACTGGGACATCATGATTGATGTACGTATAAACAGCTCATACAATTTGGTTGCTTGAGGGTAGAATGCAACAATGGATTTCCAAGGCCCTGGTATTTGTGCGCCCTGCTTTTGCTACTGTTAGACGTGCATGTTGGGACTCTCGAGCCTGTGCAGGGTATGATGTGAAGGCGAACATGGATGTATTCTAATTCAGTCGAGACCCCTGTCTACTGAAACGGTGGCTCAAGGCTTGGCATACGCGTAGCTTCCCTAGGCCGCTCTCACGTAACCATTTAGCAAGGGACGGCTTGTGTAGCTTCAGAAAACACCACATTGCCATTACTTCCAATCTCGCTACATTTCTGTCGCCTGGCTGTTATGGACAGCTCACGTATCTAGACTCCCCCCACGCAACCCGAATCCCTTCGTATCTACTGTCGGCGCCATCATCACTGTAAACGCTACGTATCGGCATCCCGCCCAGCTTCTCAGCCGGATATCGGCCCACTACACAACATTCACAATAAATTGTTGCGCTCCTCTGCTGTGTTGACGGCAAAACACACAAGATGCGGCGCTCTGATCTATCCTCCTCTGGCGCTTTACTGGTGTCATTACTAGCCATAGCGCCCTCGCCCGCATCGGCCTTTTACTTTCCAGGCACCGCGCCAACAACCTACAAGACCGGAGACGCCGTACCATTGTACGTCAATCGCCTCACACCAGCCGACTCGCAAAATGACCCGAAAATACGATCCGTCTTCTCGTTCGACTACTACTACCCGCCCTTCCACTTTTGTCGCGAAAAAGATGGACCAAAGGAAATCCGCGAGAGTCTGGGGAGCATACTATTCGGCGACCGTATACAAACAAGCCCTTTTGAGCTGAAGATGGCCGTCAATGAGACTTGCAAGTTTCTTTGCGAGGCTCCGTACCCTGGCAAAGATGCGGCATTCGTGAATGACAGAATATACCAGGGCTATGATCTCAATTGGTTAATAGACGGGTTGCCAGCGGCACAGTCATTGCGAGAGCCCGGCTCGGATCAGATCTTCTACCAGCCTGGCTTTGCATTGGGCTTGGTGGATGAGGAGAAACCCATGCTCAACAATCACTACGACATCGTCATCGACTACCACGAGGCCTCGCCAGGCAACTTCCGAGTAGTAGGCGTGCTGGTCGACCCATACTCAATGGCCGAATCGAAGAGACAGGGTGATACCCAGGCTACCTGCAGTGGACAGACACCAGTGATTTTAAAGGACAAAGACGACGACGAGAACATGGTCGTTTTTACTTATGGCGTATACTGGAGGAGCAGCCCGACTCCCTTTGCTACTCGGTGGGACAAATATCTCCATGTCTACGACCCCAAGATTCACTGGTTCTCTCTCATCAATTCGGCTGTGATTGTCGTGTTCCTCGTTGGCATGGTCAGTACGATCCTTGTTCGTACCCTGAAGAAGGATATTGCGCGATACAACCGCTTGGATCAGTTTGCACTCGAAGACTTTGGCGAGACAGGAGATGCTGATGACACTGCTGATGATTCGGGCTGGAAACTGGTCCACGGCGATGTATTCAGGCCGCCAAAGAATCCGCTACTTCTTTCAGTCTTGATCGGCAACGGCGCCCAGCTCTTTGCCATGACGGCGCTGACCATAGGTAAGTACACCAAGGCTCGATATGTACGCCTCTTGTTAACATGTATCATAGTATTCGCGCTGCTCGGCTTCCTTTCTCCCAGCAATCGCGGTGCCCTCGGAACCGTCATCATCATCTTCTACACACTCTTCGGTTTCTTCGGCGGCTACGCCGCTGCGCGCGTCTACAAATTCTTCCAAGGAGAGTCCTGGAAACTTTGCTTCTTCTATACCCCCGTCGCTCTCCCAGCAATCGTCTTTAGCGTCTTCTTCCTCATGAACCTGTTCGTCTGGGGCCGCGGAGCATCAGGAGCAGTGCCTTTCACCACAATGCTAGTCGTTGTCATTATCTGGTTTGTCATCTCGGTCCCACTCAGTCTGGCGGGTTCCTGGTTTGGCTTTAAGCAAGCTACCATCGAACCACCTGTTCGCACCAACCAGATCCCCCGTCAAATCCCCCCGGCTGGAGGCTACCTGCGACCTATTCCATCCATGGCGTTGGCTGGTGTACTCCCCTTTGGCGCCATTTTCGTCGAACTCTACTTCATCATGAACTCGATCTGGTTCTCAAAAGTCTACTACATGTTTGGTTTCCTTTTCCTCTGCTTTGGCCTCATGATTATCACGTCTGCTGCTGTTACCGTCTTGATGATTTACTTTTTGCTCTGCGCAGAGAATTACCACTGGCAGTGGCGGTCGTTCTTCACCGCTGGTGCGAGCGCCGTGTATGTGTTTGCCAGTTGCTTGCTCTACTGGATTAAGGATGTTAGTTGGACGAGCTGGACGAGTGGTGTGGTGTACCTTGGATACTCGGCCTTGCTTAGTGCGCTAGTATTCATTCTCACTGGTAAGTACATCTTGCAACCCGATTTGAAAAAGCAGAAGAAGCTAACTTGACGAACAGGTACAATTGGCTTCTTTGCCAGCTGGCTATTCACACTCAAGATTTATAGATCTATCAAGGTGGACTAAGGGCCGGGTACAGGCTTTTGCAGGGGGGTTTAACTTCTTGAATGACGACATTGTACATGCTAGTGGAGTATACTAAAAAGTATATATTAAATCTACTCTGCGTTGTTTACGTCTCTAGCATTTCTCACAGCTGCCCATGTAAGCTATAGTAGGTCTTATGAAAAAAACACATTTGACACTAGACATGTTTGCATAATAGGACTGATGTAGTGTAGCATACAGGATGTGCATTATGAATTGTAGGCGGTTTCATTGAAAATATTATTCCATAATAATGGTGGTCATGATCTGGGTTTAGCTTATACATAACAGCGTAAAGGAAAAAATCTAGTTCCACTCCTCCTCTTGATCATCTCGCTTACTCAGTAAGTAGCATGTCCAATCACACGCATCTCCTGACGATACACCTGCTATCAATGCACATACGCCGTATGCCCCTGCATAACCGGCGCATGAACATGTTGCACCGGCTTATGGCTCTGTTTCCAGCACGTATGCTTCGCAATCCCCAATAGCGCAACGAAGCTAAGCGCTTGGAACACAGTCAGAACATACGACAGGGCTATCGATGTGTGGGGATCAAAGCCTTCGGTGTAAAGGCTTAGTGCCTGCAGCACTATGGATAGGCTGGACCAGATGAACATGAAGATGTGGAGGGCAGCGACCCAACCGATGAGATCCTGAGCAATACCATTAGTAAAGCGCGGTAACGTTTTTTGAAATGGAAGTATGACTTACGCCAGCAGCTAACTGCGCTCTCCGCAGCCCAGACAGCGTCATAGTAGCCAGTGCCGCCGACACGATGACACAAAGTGTATATAGCACTCTCACCGCCAGCGATAGCCGATGCGAAGATAGCAGAAGCTTATATCGTTCTTCACTCCACATACCCAGTGCCGAGATCCAGAGGTAGCTGGATAAACTGATATAAGCTATGTAGATAAGGCCCATGACGCCTACCATCACCAGACAGATGATTCTAAACATCATAACGGCTGAACCGAGTTGTTTGCGGAGTGAGATGTTTACTTGGTAGACGACAAGGAACAGCATGCCCCATATGCTGATGAAGCCGATGATGTTGGAAGCGAGGGCCATGTCGCGCATTTCCTGGAGACCTCCAGTTTGACATTGGGATCGGAGGAGAGATGTGAGGTCGAGGGCTAGGGAACTACATTTCTCTGACTATCAGCCTTCCGCAAATAAAAGATAAAACTGAGGAAGGTGTGAGGTAAGGTGGGGGGGACTTACACAATTGCAAGGAGCAATGTGAGTATGTAGGCAAATCCGATTAACGATTTTCCTGCGCCACCGCTCCTTTTGTGGATGAAGAACGAGGCGATGAAGATTGCGAGGAAGATGATAAGGAAGACGAGGTAATAGCCAAGATAGACTTGGATGGTGTAGTTTGGGAATGCGTCGGGGCAGAACGACCTTTTTGAGAGGTTCGGGCTGCTACTTGTTGGTGCCATGAGGGAGTTGTGTGTGGTGTATCAGGCTTTAACTGAGAGAAAGACGACTGAGCCGCCAAAGATAATAGGATTCCAGATGTGTAAAGGGAACAATGGTTAAGTGTTGATCCCCTAAGTGATGTACTTTGTATGGTTCGGCACAACGGTTTCCTTTATAGACTATTTCCATTGAACGGATCCGCCATCTGATCTATGCTGTGGCTTGTCTGCGCTGCTACGCTGTGACGCTGCGGCTTGGCGGCTTTAGAGCAGCCACTTCGTATCGAACGAATCACGGCTGGGTGAAGTTGTGCCATGGAATGAAAATAGGATCCATGTTGGTCGCCTTACTAAACAGGTATTCAATGTCGCTGCGGCAACAGTAGCAGCAGCGAGACTAAGGGACACATTCATATGGCATCGCTGCAGTCATCATGAATGTAAAAAATGGTGTATTAATGCTTCATACTGTGAAAGAATGGGTTATTGAAGTTCTATTGACTTTGCAGTCAAGCAGGAGAGTTGGTGTGTTGGATGTTGGAGTTCAGTATGCCCAGGACGCCATATGTACTCGGCTCCGGTCGACAACAAAACGAGGCTGTGCGGGGGGCTGTGTCGTGGTCAGCAGCCATTAAAGGTGGAACAGGATTGTCTGGAAAACTGAAATATCAAGGGACTCGAGTATGCATGTAGAAGGTCACGCTTCAGCCTCGTGTTGGATTAGCTTGTAGTAGAACACGTGACTTGGCTTACTGCAGGAACCGATGCACATGCACTGCTAGTACTGCTCTACTATAAGGCGCGGCATGACATCATGTCCATTTTGGGTGAAGCCCCATTCGGACACGACCGTGTACTTTATGCTTCGGTACGTCCGGACAGCTATTGCGATATATACTTTTGTGTGCTTACTGGATCCAAGTGCCGTCTGACTTGATTGCCTCATCTGGACCGAGCTTGCGAAACATCCGTTCCGACAGTCCCGTCCCAAGGAAACATGTACCCACGGTACCGTTCTCTTCCAGCGGCCGACAACCTATACCTCAACACTACACTTCAACACGCCCACTTTGGTGAATCCATCACGTTTCTTTCCAACAGCCTGGTGAGCGATGGAGAGTAGTCACACGCCTGGTTTGACAAGCGATAAGACTGATCTAACATCTCTGACGAATGGGGCATCAACAATGTCCCACGCACTACGAGGCCTGTCAACGCGACCACCCATCAACCGCGAAGACTCGTGGAACCCAAAAATTTCATCTAGTGCCTTGGATGTTGATGGCGTTCTCAGATCAAAGAAGCAAAATGAAGACCATGGGATAGAATCCCGAAGCCGTAGCACAACCGCTATACCTTCTGATGAAAGCAGCTCGGAAACCCATGTGGAGGAAAGGCAACGCAATCGCCGAAAGAGCATCGAAGTCGTGCTAGAAAAATCCGGAAAGAAAGGCGAGTATAAATTCACCGCCAAAGACCCCGGGTTTCAAGAAGCTTTACAAACTGGACTTCGGCGGGAGGCTGAGAAGCTGAACCGTAAGACCAAGGGTCGGCCAAGAGATCTTATCTTCACCCAGCAATACACAACGTTCGATCGCCAAAATGCAACTGCTTCACAGTCGCCCTTTCATGGGTTCTTCACTCTTTTCTGGCTTGCCATGGCCTTGTTGCTCATACGAATCGCAGCCGGCAACTACCGAACCAAAGGCTCTATCTTTGGAGATGCAGAGATCCTGCATCTGATGGTCGACAAAGACCTTTTCATCATGCTTGCAACAGATCTTGGAATGTGCGCAACAACCATTTTTGGGTTCTTCCTACAGAAAGCCATTGCAAAAGACTACTTGACGTGGAATGGCTCAGGGTGGATTATCCAGTCGCTGTGGCAAGCCTTCTTTACCTGTACTTTCATCTGGATTACCTTCTGGCGTGAGTGGCCTTGGACCCATACCGTCTTCATTGTTCTGCATGTCTTTGTGCTGTTGATGAAGCAGCACGCCTATGCGTTCTACAACGGCTATTGTAAGTCTTCTTTTTGTAATACCGACGGTCGAGCTGATTATGAGCAGTATCGCGAGTTTATAGACGACGGAATGTTTTGCAGGATATGCTTCGAGAGCTGGATACTATGAAATCGCAAAAAGGGTCGACTGAAATGACGCGTCTTCCAGAGGCGTCAACTGTTACCAGCATTGGAAAACCCAAAGAAGGCGATCTGATCCGCCGAGGGCGCAAATACTCTCCACGATTGTCTGAGGAAGAGTTGGAAATCGCAAGTATTGGTCAAGCTATTGATTCTAGAAAGCCGCTCGACTCGGAACAAATCGAGGGGTTCCGCCGCGTGTTGAACACTGAGATTACAATCCTCAACGAGGACCTACGTGGAAAATGCACGACAACGGACAACATTTATCCTAACAACCTCAATTTCTACAATTTCTTAGAATGGTCATGTTTCCCCACGCTCATTTACGACTTGGAGTATCCCCGCCAGGATCGTATCAACTGGTGGTACGTTGCCGAGAAGTCGGCAGCTACACTGGGTGGCATTTGGGTCATGATCATCATCTCGCAAGCGTATATCTACCCTGTTGTCGTAGAAACTGTTCGACGGAAAGAAGCTGGCATGTCACTTGATCAAGGATGGAAAGAGTTTCCATGGATTGGTGAGTAGTCTTTCCTTCACACTTGATGTTATCTGCTAACGTCATCTTCACCAGTCTCTGATATGATATTCCCCATGCTTCTCGAATCACTCCTGAGTTTTTACGTCATCTGGGAATGTCTCCTCAATGTATTAGCGGAACTCACACGGTTTGCCGACCGGGGCTTCTATGGTCCATGGTGGAATTCCATCTCCTTTGACCAGTATGCTCGCGACTGGAACAGACCTGTCCACAACTTCTTGCTTCGACACGTCTATCATTCTTCAATCTCCTTCTTCCACATGTCGAGGACGCAGGCTACCTTCTTTACCTTTTTTCTGAGCGCCGTCGTCCACGAGGTCGTCATGTTTTGTCTCTTTAAGAAGGTCAGGGGATACCTCTTTGCATTTCAGCTTACACAGATACCCCAGGCGGCGTTTTGCAAGAGTAGGTATATGAAGGGAAGAGATACGCTGGGTAACATTATATTTTGGTTTGGTATTTTTATTGGACCTAGTTTGATCGTGGGTTTGTACCTTATCACGTAAGCGATACAACTGGTTTTGGCGTTTAGGTTGTAGAGTTCTTGGTGGTGTGAAACGATATCTAGACGAGAAAATTTATTCACTAGTTCCCACGATTTCAGGCGCTCCGATTCTTCTCTTCTTTCAGCACTTCTAACACCCTTCTTGTTATTCTGTCTCGCTCACTAACATCGACCTGACCGTACACCTCCTGTGCTTGCTTGAAGATCTTCTCCTCCCACCCATCACCAACATTCGGCTTCCCTGAATCGTCCCAGCAAGCTTGCACAGTCCCCCCAATGTTCTTAAAGAAGCCTTCTAACCCCGCTGGCCCACCTCCAGCATGATAACTCTTAAATGGTCCTGCAACCGCCCATCGCGGGCCCATGCTACTCTCCACAATACTATCCAGCTCCTCCACAGAAACCACATTCTCATTCACTAGATGCACGGCTTCACGCAACAGCGCAAACGCCAATCTGTTCGCAACAAACCCCGTCGTTTCTTTCTTGATATGTACCGGCACTCTCCCCCTATCCACCCAAAACTGCTGCGTCCTCTTAATGACGTCCTCCGACGTATGCGGCGACGCAACTAATTCCAGCAACGGCATTACATGTGGCAGATTATACGGATGCACGACTAGCAACCTCGACTTATCTTTCATATCCTGTGCCTGCGCCGATGCCGGGATCCCAGACGTGCTGCTCCACAGCAGACAGTGTTCCGGCGCATGTTGCTCGACCTGAGCCCAAAGCTGTCGCTTGAAAGCGAGATTCTCTGGTCCGGATTCTTGGATAATGTGCGCTTCAGAGACGGCGTCGGCGAGAGAGGTCGCGACGCGGATGTTATCTATTGCTGCTTTTGCGGGGGTGTCAGCGAAGAGCTCGCTCAGGTTTTGGTCAATGTGCTGCTCGAGGTCTGGTCGCGTGTCGTAGATTGTTAGTTGGGAGGGGCTGAGGAGGTGGGTGAGGTGGTATGCGGCGAATGAGAGGCCGATTGTTCCGGCGCCGATTAGGGTTATGCGGAGATCTTTGTTTGAGTGTACTCTTAGGACGGTGTCGTGCTCAGGTGTTTCTGACTTCTCGGACATGTTGGTGTGGTCGATGATTACAGTACTGGGATGTGGAGGCTTTTTGATCGCAGAAGAATAGCTTCAATGGATAGAGTCAACACAGTGTATCCTTTGCAAAATAAAATAAAATAACCCTTCAAAAGGCTCATTGGGTGGCGGTGAAGTAATTCATACGTATGTACACCCCTGCGTATGTAGGTGTTATCGGGGAAGGTATCAGTGGGGGCGGCGATCTTAACCGCTTTGAGATGACTCGGGTAGTGTATCCAACCCCGCCTTACACAGGCCTTTATCCCCGCTCCGCCATCGTATTGAGAGCTGCATATCCGATGGCGATAGATGTACCGAGGATGGGGATCCCCATCTGTCTGCTAGCTCCAATGAATTCTCCCGCCTCAAAAATCTTTGTTCTTCAACTTCACTTATTGCTTTGCACCATTCATTATCAAACTGCGTCACTTCTACTTTGACTTCATATACACTGGTCTTGACCAAGATATTGTCTTCTTGAACGTTCAAGGTACTCATTGAGCCAAGATGGTAATCTTCAAGTCAAAACAACCACCTATCGATTGTACGTAACCCCGAACTGCTTATATGTTTGAGAATGACGCATTGAGTAACAAACATAGTACCTACCGACTTGACGGACTGGGATTGGCTCTTCAATTCGCCTTACTCACCAATCAATAACTATCCACCCAGCGAGCTTGCCGGCTTCCAAAATGCCATCACGAAAGAACGTGTGAACTGGGCTGATGTAAAGAAGTACTCTACATACATTTCTACAGCTTTAGTCAAAGAGTACAACCTCAAAGAAGGAGATACG